GGTGAATTTGGGGGTTAGATTTGTCCAAATCCTAAATTTTCGCAAACCTAGGTCCAGGTTGCAGAGGCTGAAGTCGGCGTCAATGGCAACGACGGATGAGGAAATGAGGTTTGCAAAGGGAGAGGGAGAATGCGGCTAGGGATGGGGAAGGGGAAGACATGGGTTTTAGGGTTTTCTTTTTTTTTAATTAATATTTTGATTAAATTATTATTTTTTAAATGCATACAAATTTTTTTTGCCACGTGGCACAAATTTGGCAGCCATGTCAACTCTTAACGGATCAATGGATGGAAAATATAACGGATGTATTATATTGAAATAAAATAGTACTTAAGGTATGAAATTGAAATGTTTTTAAAATGTTGTAAGGAATTGAAATCGATCTCAAACCTGAGGTGGTAAAGTGTAATTTATCCAACAATTAAAGAAAAGAAGGCTCACGATTCTCAAAGGCTTTTTTCTGTCTAGAAAATAATTTATATGGAATGAATTTGCGGTCCTATAGCACATTGTGTTCAATAATCAATGACGTATAAGTTTTGTAGGTGTATTTTTCCTCACCATCTTAAATTTTAGTGTTTGTTTACTATACACCTAATTATCTATCACTTGTCATTTTACTTAACTTTAGTTGGTTTTTTTCAAAAAAAAAAAAAACATTTAATGTGAAAGTAGTTATAGTTAGGTGAAATGACACATGATTAACAATTAAGTGTATGATGAGCTACACCATAATTATGATGGTGAGCAAAAATAAACCAAATGTTTTTACAAATGAGCGAATTGTTATTGACACTCCAAACTTTCTATATTTGGAAAGAAAAATACACTTGTAAGACTATCTCCAACCCTGACCTAAAAGCTAAAATTTACCATTCCCCCCCCCCAAATCCACTCCAACCCATGACTTAAAATAAACCTAAAACCTAAAACCCAAATGGATGTCAAATTCCGGCCCAATTTTAGGCCACAAAGCAAAATGGGCCCTACCAACTGAGAGTGAAACCAGGGCTGTGTTGCCCACTTCCCAACCTACACGCACTTGGCAGATTGTTGAAAGCAGACAGCCCCATGTGGGGGTGTTCCCTGCTGTCAGAAAGCAAAAGCAGCCCAACGGCTACTTTTGATGATCCAACGATTGTGTTTAAATGGGCTGTTGGTTAATCCAACGGTCCAGGTTCAAATTATTCTTTTTGTTTTATATTTATATATTTATTGAATCCAACGGTTTAAATCGAATATAATCAAATCTAACGGTAAAAAAAGATCTAACGGTCCAAATTTAAATCCAACGGCTAAAATAATTTAAAAAAATTATTTAACTTCAAATTCAACCAAAAACTCTATAAATACCTATGTATTTGTTCAAACATCCACACAAAACTCACTTTTCTCCTACAATTCTTCCAATTTTTCTTTCTACCATTTCTTCTCATTTCCAAAATTTTCAAGATGGCAAAAGAGCATGTTAGAGGTCGTAATTGGACCTTTGACAAAGATATTGCTTTATGTTTGGCATGGATTTCTGTTAGTGAAGATGGTGCCGTCGGCACCAATCAAAATAGAAAGGATTTGTGGGGTAAAATCGTTGATAAGTTCCATGAAAACTCCAACGCCAGTCGAAGGGAAGTTGGTGGTGTTTATGATCGGTGGAAGATTATCAACAAAGCGTGCACTTTGTGGAAGGGAAGCTTAGAGAGAGCCATGGTTGACATGCCTAGTGGAATGGGCGTCTCAGAAATTGTGAGTTTCTTTGTTGATATTTTTGTTGTCATGTACATAATAGTATTTTGCAACTAATTGTTTTTATATATTTGTTGCATAGGGTGACAAAGCAATGGCAATTTACAAGACAAGAACTACACCAAAAAATCAAGCTTTTAAGTTGCATCATGCTTGGAACATCCTCAAGGATTGTCCGAGGTGGGGAATCGATGCGAATCAACAATGTGAAAGATTTTTTCATAATGAAGCCCCACCCCCAAATGATGTCAATGAAGGTGTGAATTTTGCTGACAATGAAGGTGTCGACCAAATGAGCCCAACTTCTTCTTTGCCAAGGCCCTCGGGTAGAGATAAGCAAAAGGAAGCAAAGAGAAAAGGGAAGTCCCAAGATTCAATAGTGAACAATTTGCTAGTGAAATGGCAAGAATGAACGAAAACCAGTGTCGTCGGCAAGAAGAATCGGCCCAAATGTTTTTGGCCATGAAGCAAGAAGGGGATAGGGAGCAAGAAAGGTACGAAACTAATTTGATAATGGCGGACCTCGACAAATACACTCCAGAGAGGAAGAGATACTTACGTGGTAAGCAAAAAGAAATTTTACGAAGGAATGCCACAAGGAGTATATTTCAAGATGATGATTCATCGCAAGACTATCACCCAAGTCCACCACCAAGTCAAGATGGTGGATATCATTATTAAGTTTATGTAGTCTATGAGTTTTCGATTGTATTAAGTTTATGTAGTTTAGTAATTGTCTTTTTTTTTTTAAGTTTATGTGGTTTATCATGATTTTCATGTATTGATTTAGTGATTTTTCAAAATTTATTGGAATTTAAATATTTTTAGGTTAAAATGTTCATATAATTAATTTAGGATAGTCTACATAATTTTTTTTTAAAAAGTTAATTTAAAAAAAATAGCCTTAATTCATTTTTGATAATCTGGGGCTAAAATTTTAGGCCAAAAGGGTTGGAGTAGAAAAGCTGTTTCTAGGCTAAAACCTAAATTTTGTGGGCTAAATATTTTTAGGTTTTAAGTCAGGATTGGAGATGGTCTAATGAGTGTAGAATGAGATTTTTGAAATGTCAATAACACTTTCGTACAAAATATTGTATTATTAAATTATACGTCCTATGCCAATAACACATCCCTCCCTCCTCAAGCTAAAACGCCAAATGCGTTGACACGTTTTGCCTATTTAGAATTAGGCCTCGTCCCCTATCTAGATCTCTTTCAAAAACTAATTAATCTTGTGCCAGGCTGCGTCATATTTGACAGAGTCAAGACCACTATATACGACACAGCACCGTAAGTCGTTGGAGAGTCATTCAAGAATCGGGATAGTGTCCCGTCGATATAGAAAACAAATTAGGAACAACGAAGATAACACTTGCGAAGATTAACCTTTGCCGGTCATAGAATTACCGGGAAAAAAGAAGTGCATCAGACATGGATCAAGAAGCATTGCTATGAATCACCACCAAATGTTGTTTCTCCCTCAGTTATTTATCTCAACTCTAATAATATAGTTTGTGTTCAAAGATTTGAATTTGAGCCATAGTTCATGGAGGCTAAAAGGTTCTTCTTGATAGATCAAAGAACAACCACAATATAAAAAACTCTTCTCATCATAAAGACAACCACAAAATGAAGATAGTTAGAAGATATGAGAAACAAAAAGTGAAAAGAAGGAAGAGACCAAGACGGATTGCATCCCAAAGACACAAGCAGGCATCGACATTTGAGGTTTTTTTCTTTCTATTTGTCTCCCTAGCGGTTAGGAATCCATTTGTTCGTTAAATATTCATTGAATGCAAGGAATGAGTCATTCCAATAAGATCATTAACTACTTTCTACAAAGTTATTTTAAAAATAATAATTTCAAACCGTTATTTTCAGTAGTTTAAAACTGAAATTAAAATAGATGGATTGCCATAGTTTATGATGTAACAATTCACCTTGCTTTCTTAAAATTGTAAATTTAGTGAAAAAAATGCAGAACGAAATATAGAAAACTCATCCTATGCAAGTTTGTATGTTCATAAGGATACAATAGTATTGATGAAAAAGACAGAACAATACAAAACGATCATATAGAGCATTTATGAACTATTTATCATTGTTATTATTGGATCAAATATTATTTTCATCACCGCAATTTATCTTGCCTGTTTGTATTATTGTATAAATAATTTATATATGGTCAATTTTAGGCTAATTGTCTCACAAAATAATCAGACTTTGTGAACGAAACCAACAAAACCTTCTCGATCACTCAAAAATTATCAAAGAAAACCTTCACGACAACTTGCAGAAGGAAGAAACATCCAAAAAATATCAAACAAAGGGACCATCCTCTCCCCCCCCCCCCAAAATATCAAACAAAGGGACCATCCTCTCCCTCCCCCCCCCCCCACCACAAAAAAAAAAGGATCCCCACCACCCCGAAGGAGGAGTCAGTCTTCCTTGAAGAAATATCAAACAAAGGGACCATTCCCCGCCGCCCCCCCCAAAAAAAATTTCTTTTTTGAAAAATTAAGGACATGCAAAGACAAAAGGGCCCCGGATTAACGTGAAACATGCATATTTGTACACGTAATGTTGCTGTCGGGTCCTCCATATATGTATAAATATTTTCTGTTGCTTCCTGCATATATATTCCACAGCAACCATATGAGCAGTGAGCCCCCCCCCCCCCCCTCTCCCTCTCTCCCAAACCCCCAAATTGATCCCCCACCACCCCGAAGGAGGAGTCAGAAGAAATATCAAAAAAAGGGACCATTACACGCAAAGACAAAAGGGCAAACAAGATTCTCAAGGGTCTTTATATAGATTTAGTGCTTTAGTCTAGTAATTAGAATATGGGCCATTTGAAAATGGATTGAAGGCTTGGGCCTTATGGTTGTGTGGATTATGCTTGTATAATATAGCCTAAATACAATTAATATTAATTTCTGTATTTATTGTATACTTTTCATTTTGTATAGCAAGTACCTTTTGTGAAATAAAAATTGTGAATTTCAAGTTCTATTTATTTCTGTTATTCTGTTTATTTCTGAATTGTTCTCCAACAATCTTCGAACAGTATGGAACAATCAGGAACTAAACCTCTGTCTGAGAAGCCTGAGAAATTTAAGGACGAAGACTTCAAACGATGGCAGCAGAAAATGCTGTTTTATCTGACAACCTTGAATTTGGCTAATGTTGTGCACCAGACTGAACCTACTGCAGATGAGAAAATATTTTTTCTGCAGAAACTTTGACGACTATAGATGCCTGGAAACATAATGATTTCCTCTGCAGAAACTATATTCTTAATGCATTAGATGATTCATTGTATGATGTCTACGTGGTGTGCAAAACAGCCAAGGAACTTTGGGAATCACTTGAGAAAAAATATAAAACCGAGGATGGTGGTTCAAAGAAATTTGTCGTGGGAACATTTTTGGACTACAAAATGGTGGATTCCAAGTCTGTTGTCTCTCAAACTGAAGATCTCCAGAAAATCATTCATGACATTCATGTTGAAGGGATGGTAATCAATGAGTCTTTCCAAGTGGCGTCCATTATAGAAAAACTGCCACCTTCTTGGAAAGAGTTCAAGAGTTATCTCAAGCACAAACGAAAGGAGATGACCCTTGAGGATCTCATTGTAAGGCTGAGAATTGAGGAAGATAACAGAAAGAATGAGAAGGGCCTGGTTTCAAGTATGGAAGCCAAGGCGAATGTTGTTGAAGGAAGTTCATCAAAGCAAAGGCCAAAATTCCAGAAAACTAAGAAGAAGGAAAGCCACTTTATCCCTGGTGCGAAAGGCAAAGACTTCAAGAAAATCAAGGGAAGTTGCTGGGTTTATGGAAAGCAAGGCCATAGGGCTCAAGAATGTCGCCATCAAAGGGATCAAGGTCCTGGAAATCAAGGCAACAACAACCGCGCAAACCTGATTCAAAACAATGTGGATGCCCTGGCTGCAATGATTTCTGAAATCAACCTCATATCTGACCACGCTGATTGGTGGATAGATACCGGTGCGACTCGCCATGTTTGTGGTGACAGAAAAATGTTTTCTTCGTACTAGAAAATAGAGGGAAACGAGCAGCTGTTTATGGGAAATGCATCCTCATCTGTTGTGGCTGGAATAGGGAAGTGTGTTCTGAAATTCACTTCTGGAAAGGAATTGACCCTTCTTGACGTACTGCATGTCCCCAATATAAGGAAGAATCTTGTTTCTGGTCCTATCCTTAGTAATAAAGGATTTAAACTAGTTTTTGAGTCCAATAAGTTTGTATTAACGAAAGGGGGAATGTTTGTGGGAAAGGGTTACCTTGCTGATGGATTATTCAAACTCAATGTACTTGCTAATGCTATGAATGAAATAAATAATGCTTCTGCTTATATTGTTGATTCGTCTAATTTATGGCACTCTAGGTTAGGACATGTAAATTTTCGTTCTCTTTTTAGAATGCATAATTTAGGTTTGCTGCCCAAAATTGATTATCTAGATAATGTTAAATGTGAAACTTGTACATAATCGAAATTTGCAAGTCAAAGCTTTAAATCAGTGCATGAAAAATCCAATGATTTGTAGATTTAATTCATAGTGACTTGTGTGATTTTAGATCATATCCAACTCGTGGTGGAAAGAATTATTATGTAACATTTATAGATGATTTCAGTAAGTATTGTTATGTTTATTTACTTCATAGCAAAGATGAGACCTTGGATATGTTTAAGACATATAAGGCAGAAGTTGAAAATCAACTTAACAAGAAGATTAAAGTCTTAAGGTCCGAAAGGGGAGGAGAATATGAGTCTCATGCTTTTGCTGAATTTTGTGCCACACATGGCATAATTCATCAAACAACAGCCCCCTATACACCACAACAAAACGGTGTTTGCCGAAAGGAAAAATAGGACTTTTAAAGACATGATCAATTCTATGTTGAATAGTTCTGGACTTCCACACAATTTGTGGGGTGAAGCTTTACTTACTGCAAATAAAATTTTGAATCGAATTCCACCTAAAACGAGAAAGGAGTCACCATATGAATTATGGAAAGGAAGAACCCCTACGTTTAAATTGCTTAAAGTGTGGGGTTGTCTGGCAAAAGTACAAGTTCCATTGCCAAAAAGAACAAAATTATGACCTAAAACTATTGATTGTGTTTTTATTGGTTTTGCATCTAATAGTTCGGCTTATAGATTCTTAGTTTTTCATTCCGAAATAAGTGATATACATGTCAATACTATTATAGAATCTATAAATGCAATATTTTTTTAGGATATTTTTCCATACAAAATAGGCAAGTCTAATTTATTGAAAAAGAGAATACATGATGATGTATCTGAGGTTACTAATGAACCTAGAGAACATGATGATGGTTCAACCTCGTCTAGAGTTCAAGAAGAAGAACTTGAACCTAGAAGAAGTAAAAGGACAAAAATCCGAAAAGACTTTGGGCCTGATTTTGTGACTTTATTAACCGAGACTGAACCTCAATCATTCAAGGAGGCCATGTCCACTCCTGAAGCTCCATTTTGGAAGGATGCAGTTAACAGTGAGATAGATTCCATTATGCAAAATCATACATGGGAATTAGTCGATTTGCCCCTGGCAATAAGCCAATTGGGTACAAATGGATCTTTAAGAAGAAATTAAAACCAGATGGTACAATTGACAAATATAAGGCTCGTTTGGTAGCTAAAGGATACCGTAAAAAACATGGTTTGGATTCCTTTGATACATACTCACCTATAACGAGAATTACTTCAATAAGATTATTGATTGCTATAGCTGCACTCCATAACATGGAAATACATCAAATGGATGTAAAAACTGCATTCTTAAATGGAGACTTAGATGAGGAAATATATATGGAACAACCCGAGGGGTTTGTAGTTAAAGGTAAAGAACACAAAGTGTGTAAACTTGTGAAATCGCTATATGGGCTTAAACAAGCTCCAAAGCAATGGCATGAAAAATTTAACCATGTTCTGATCACACACGGTTTTAAGATAAATGAGTGTGATAAGTGTGTCTACACAAAAACTCAAAATAATGCTTGTGTTATGTTGTGTTTATATGTAGATGATATGCTTATAATGGGAACTAACAAAGAGATAATACATTGGACCAAGAAGATATTGAAATCAAATTTCGATATGAAAGATCTTGGACTAGCTGATGTGATTCTTGGTGTAAAAATAAAAAGAAACCAAGAAGGATATATTCTTACTCAGTCACATTATATAGAAGCTACACTTAGGAAATATGGTCATTTGGAAAGTAAGGATGCAATTACTCCTTTTGATGCCAATAGCAAACTTAAGAAAAATAAAGGTGATGCTATATCTCAACGTGAATACTCACAAATTATTGGAAGCCTTATGTACATTATGAACTGTACAAGGCCTGATATAGCATACTCCGTGAGTAGATTGAGTAGATATACATGCAATCCTGGGCATGATCATTGGGAAGCTTTAATTCGAGTTATGAGATACTTAAAGCATACAATGAATTATGGATTGCATTATACGAGGTATCCTCCTGTGCTCGAAGGATTCACTGATGCGAATTGGATATCGGATAGTACTGATACGAAATCCACAAGTGGATATGTATTTACTTTGAGAGGAGCAACAATATCTTGGAAATCTTCCAAACAAACATGTATAGCCCGATCAACTATGGAATCGGAATTTATAGCTCTCGATATGGCTGGAGGAAAAGCTGAGTGGCTAAGAGATTTCTTGGAAAATGTTCCCATATGGCCTAAACCTGTAAACGGCAATATGTATACACTGTGATAGTTTAGCTGCACAATATCGAGCTAAAAATAGTGTATACAATGGGAAGTCTAGACAAATTAGACGAAGACATAATACAATAAAGAAATGGCTATCTAGTGGTGTAATTTCTATTGACTATGTCAAGTCAAAAGATAATATTGCGGATCCGCTTACTAAAGGCTTATCTAGAGAGCAAGTTAAGCATACATCGAGGGGAATGGGTTTAAAGCCAATAGAGTAAAATGAAACTGCCAAATGGAAACCTAACCTAGTTGATTGGAGATCCCATGGTCTAGGTTCAATAGGCAAACTGGTTTGGCTAGATTCAAGAAGAAACACACTTACATACCCATTCCTATGATGGAAGAAGTGTGGTGACTGCTGATGGTGCAGGATACATTAGTTTAATGATATTGGTACTTGTAAATCAAGTGGAATAGTAGCAGCCTATTCATAATCAATATCACCTATATGAGAGTAAATGTGGGGTCGCATTTATGAGAATTACATGGCTACATTCTCTAAAGCTCTCATGAATCCAGGATTTGTTCAGGACCAAAATGAACACAAACGTATGAATTTGCAATGTGTTGGTGTGACATATGTTTTGCTTATTATCTTGGTTTACTGCGAAGATGAACAGTTCAAGATTTTATATTCACTGCGTCATCTAGTAAATCCGATAAGTATATACTAAGGTAGGTTCAAGTCCAAAAGACACCTTTCCTGATGTATGTCACGTCTATTGTTTACTCTCGTGTTTCAGTTTCTCTATGACCAAACAGTCGTCTCAAAATGTGGGGTATTGTTGGAAGTTTTGAGACTCTTGTCCCACATTGGAGAAAACAAGATTCTCAAGGGCCTGTATATAGATTTAGTGTTTTAGTCTAGTAATTAGAATGGGCCATTTGGAAATTGATTGAAGGCTTGGGCCTTATGGTTGTGTCGATTAGGCTTGTATAATATAGCCTAAATACAATTAATATTAATTTCTGTATTTATTGTATACTTTTCATTCTGTATAGCAAGTACCTTTTGTGAAATAAAAATTGTGAATTTCAAGTTCTGTTTATTTCTGTTATTCTGTTTATTTCTGAATTGTTCTCCAACACACAGCAACCATATGAGAAGTGAGAGATATGTGAAGAGCCGCCAGAAGATCCAAAAGTGGTCCATTTTCTCATCTCATAATCTCAAAACCTCTTTGCCTTGAGTGGACGTGCTTAAGTTAAGAGAGTATCTTGGTATATATCCCTATAAATTCTACTCCCCAAAATGGGATAAACTGTCGGTGAGAAAAGGTCATGTGATGTGAGCCCTCATTGTAAAATTAAATTACTAATATATGATAAGTAATGCTAGGAAAGCCATTTACTTAAATTATATTTTGTAAATCATATGACGTGGTCACGTGATTATTGATAATTAGATTATTATCTTAATGTTGATTATGTGCTTATTTCTTTTTTATGACAAATTACATGATTTGCTAATAAGATCTAAAAAGTATGGTTTTCTCTAATTATATTTTTCCTTCTGGTGTTCTTAGAGGAAGTGCATTTCACTACTTATTTTCTTTTTGGGCTATTGTTTTAATTAGAGTTGGTGTATCACATAACTATACTAGTCAATTAGAATGTAATTAAGATTAACAATTTTGATTGTTAAGCACACCATAAACAATCCTTTTGAGACTCAAATATCTGTCTGTTAAAGGTGAACAAAGTATCTCAAGTATATAAATTGACTACGTACATCATGTCGGTTGAAAGCTTCGCACTATGTGGCCTCCTTATCCTTACGTCTTGAATCTTGGGAACATATTGTATACCACATTTCCCTCCAACGCGTGTTCATGCATGATCCTCCACAAAGGAATACTATTGTGTGCTAGTGCAACACACATGGTACTAGTTCATGTGATATATAAGAGCAAGTTCATTCCTAAAAGAATGCGCCAATATCTAGCCCATTTAATACACTCAGTGAACAATGATAGATCTCAATGAACAGTAATAGGCCAAATGAATCTCCACCCCTAAAAAATGCGCTAGCACAAAGTCTAAAAATTGCTCTGGCACAAACGATCTCCACCCCTACACAATGTGTTGGCACCCTGTCCATTTAAAATATTGTTAATTTTTTTATAAATAATAAATAAAAATTAATTTTAATTTCGGATTGGATTTTTAACTAATCTTGTCACGCCACATGCCATTATCAGAATAAAATTACATAAAATCATCAAATAAACTTAAAAAAAACACATTAAATAAAATTAAATAAACTCATCAAATAAACTTTAAAAAAAACACTAAATAAACTAAGAACTTTATTGTTCCACCACAAGCTCCTTTTAATTATCTTGGCCTTGTTGAAATCCCCATTGGTGCTCAATCAAGTCACTTTGACGGGTACAGTGCCATTATGGCTTTTGCAATGAAGTGTACCGCTGAGTGATCAATTGATTGTAACGTCCATCCTATTCCAATGGCTCGTGTTGCACGGGATCTTTGGTGCCGTCATGAGCACAATAGATACATGTTCTTGAGTTGTTCATTGTGTGCGGCTCGTATTCGTCGACAGCATCATAATCATACTCATCTTCCACAATCATGTTATGGAGAATGATACATGACATCATGATGGATCGAAGTGCCTCGACATCAAACATTCTGGCAGCTGACCTGACAATTGCCCAACGAGCTTGCAGGATACTAAAACAACACTCCACATCCTTCCTACACCACTCTTGACATTTTGCAAAGTGTTTTTCTTTTTCACTTTGTGGATGTAGGGCTATTTTGACAAACGTTGTCCACCTTGGGTAAATGTCGTCTGCAAGGTAGTACGGCCCGTCGTATGTATGTCCATTGATTGAATATGTGACTCTGGGTGCTTTTTCTTGCAGCACTTTGTTGAAGATTGGAGATTGCGCAAGGACATTTAGGTCATTCTGAGCTCCTGGAACACCAAAAAATGCATGTCAAATCCATGTATCAAATGAAGTCACCACTTCCAAAATGATATTTTTGGCTCCTTTTTTGTCGCCATATGCTCCTTGCCACGCACTTGGACAGTTTTTCCAGGTCCAGTGCATACAGTCAATGCTTCCAATCATGCCAGGAAGCCTCGCATCTCAGCCTTCCTCAGTAGCCTTCGCAGATCCTTATGCGTCAATTTCCGGAGGTACTCCTTCATATAGAGGGCTTCGATTGCAGAGAAAAATCGCATCAGGGACTCTAGAACAATTGATTTTCCCATCCTCGTTATCTCATCCACTTGATCTACAGATGCTTCATATGCAAGCATCTGCAAGGTAGTAGTAACTTTTTGCTCAGGAAGAAGACCTAGAACATGAAAATCATCCTCTTTTTTTTTGCACAAAGTATTAATCATGGTTGCAAATAGCACTCATGATTTTGTCATACAAACTTTGTTGCATTCTAAAACGACGTCTAAAAACATGATCAGGGAATACACAATTGGGGATAAAATAATCTTCCAAGATATTATTACCTCGTCTTTCCCTCTTTCTATCGAAGTTTGCAGCACGTTTAGGTTTGGATATCTAACCCACAGCTTCCATGACACAATGGGAACGTGAAGCCCTCTGCCTTCTATGGTCATCATCTTTATCCTCCTCCATTGCAAAAGCCTCATCTCCGCCTCCACCTTCCTCGAGATTGACCAATTCTTCATGTTGTGTCAACAATCTTTTATGTTGCTCCTCAAACTGTTTATACACTCTCCTAGAAGAAGACATTGTAAGGATGGATGTAGGGATGAAGAAGGATTCTGAGCTAAAAAGAAGGATTGATTTTAGTGTGAGGATGGATGTAGCATTGTAGGGTTTATATGGACAAAAAAAAGAATGAGGTTTTGGTTAGGTATTCTTTTCACACAAAAAGTACATGAAAGCTTCAGTAGAAAGTGTTGAAAATATTGAAATATGGTGTAAGGTGGAAGATGATCGTTGGGTATTTATAGGAAAAAAAATTTAAAAAAAATATAATATTTTTTTTGTATTTTTAATCATTTTTTTATTAATTTTTATTAAGTGAATTAATCTGGACCGTTGGATTTGAAAAAGATTCAAATCCAACAACCCATAAGTATGACACGTGGCCAACAGTCACAATTCTAACCGTTGGGGTTTTTTTTTACGCTCGAAAATTGTGGACCGCTGATCTTAGGATCGAACGACCCAGAACGCGCCACGTCATCTAGCTATTGGATTTCAAATTCAAAATTTTTTTACCATTGGAAATCCAATGGTCCAAAAAACTAGCCGTTGGAAATCCAACGGTCTAAGACTGGCCACGTGGCCTCCCCATCAAACAGGTGAGTGCGCCTGCACATGCGGGCCCCGCCTCTGTTTTCTTGTCGGCGACGCACGCCCAAATGTGTGTGCTTCCCACGCGCCTGGAGCAAAAAAATTAAAATGGCCCGTTTTGGCTTAGCACATTTTGGGTCGGCTTATGGGATGGCTTGGGCTGGGCTGAAGGCTTTTAGCCGGGTGCCAGGGTATCAAGCCCCAATGGACTTCCTCTAAAGGGTGGTGTTATCCATGCACCTCTATTTATCATCCACACATTTTTTGTTAATTTAAATTTTTTGAACTGCTCCAACTCATTTATTCGACAGTTGAAAATTAAAGGGTGTGTCTGGAAGGTAAAAAGGTGTGTGTGGATAACAATATTCTATATAAAATGAGTAGATGACAAATTTATACTAAAGATCGTACAATATCAATAAACATATATAAACATGAATTGATTCTATAATGTGACTGTGTAAATAATTTGCTTTTGTTGTTTAATTAAACAAAACAACAAACTTTCATTACTTTCAAGGGAGTTTTAACGAAAGGGGTCTGGCACTATTCATTCTTAATCAAAAGGACATTTTGTATATGAAAAGTCCATAATGGATAAAGCTATTTTCTTTATTTACTCTTATGCCATTATTTTATTATTACAGCGGGGTCCACAATGATGTTGACATTTCTGTCTGGAAATACATTATTTTACATTATGTTATTCAACTTATGCTAATTAGCTGCCAGCTCTTTATGCTTCCATCATGTTGTCGATGTTATGCAGCTCTTATTCTGTCAAATTATTCTAGAACTGTTCATCGCCTTCTACTAGCTCTGCATCTCTTTCTTTATCTTCTTTCACCTTATAATACATATTTTCTGTTTCTCCTTTGAAATTTTGAAGCTTCCAGTATGGCTGATGACGGGCTTTTGACTTGCTGTAAATATGCATTTCTTCTTCTTCTGCTACTAATACCTAGACCTGGCATTCGTGTTGTGTTTCTCATATTCGTGTCGTTTTCGTGTCATACCCGATAGCTTAACGGGTCATGTCGTGTCATACCCATTAAAGTAAACGAGTAATATGACCCGACCTAAAATCAACCCGTTAATATTATCAGGTAATATGACCCAACCCGTTACCTGTTAAGAAAAATATATTTTAAATCAATAAAAAGAAAATGAAAAACATAATTTGATCCAAAAAACTGTAAAACATAATACTAAATTAGTATATATATACTAAATTTCGGAGTTGACCCCTTCATAAAAGTTGTAAAGTTTTTCATTACAAGTGATTACATTTTTCTCACTTCTACAATAATTATTATTAATTTTGCATTCAAATAAAAAACATTGTTCATGAAATTTGGAGGGTTTTAAAAATCTAAACGACCAAGTAACCATCATCTAAGCGTTGAGGAAGCAATTATGAACTTTTATTATGTTTTCACATCTTTCAGACTTATACATTAATGATTATGAATTTTGTTTATTTTGAACTCCCTTAAAAATACTATTCATGAGAGTTTGTATGGTTTTAAAAAATTCAAACGATCATATACCCATCCTCAAAGTGTAGAGGATGCGACTACGAGCTTTTGTATATTTTTTTCATATTTTTCGCACATGTAAATTAATTATTATAATTTTTTTAATGTGTTTGGTATTTTTAAATTACCTAATATTTTTATTTTTAATGTGTTTTCTGATATTTAATCTCAATCTTTGCCTATAATATACTAATAAATAAATAAATAAATAAAACTTAAATTTTAAACTTTATATAGAATAATAATTAATAAACAATCTATACATATTCATTATATCTATTGTATTTTATTGTAAGATTTTTTTAGTAGTTTAAAAAATTAAAATCATCAAAATAACTTTTTTCTTATCGTGTTGAAACAGGTTACCTGCGTGTTACTCTCGTGTAAACCTGTTAAGGACCCGTTATTAATGGGTTATTATCGTGTGACCGATAATGACCCGATTAGTTATAATGTTGATCCGAAACCTATTATTTTCGTGTCGTTTAAGTGTCATGTTAACGGGTCGTGTAAGAAATTGCCAAGAGTCCACCTATGTGGAGAGATAGGGGATAGTCTAAAGGACTCTTCATTAATCATGGCTATGTTCCTAGCTTTCTCCTTTTGCATATGTACATACCAATCTAGGGGGCTACTAATAAAACTTATGCAAATTTCTTTCTACTTTTCTAGATAATCTTCTACTACTTTTATAAGTTTTTCAGGAAATGATTCTAGTTGGGAAATATGGTTAATGAATATTTTATCAAGATAGCCAAACTCTAATACTAAGGCCGGGGTAACTTTTACCAAGTTATGCTTTTTTTATGCTCATAACTAAAATGTCATGGTCTAAAATCTCTAATGTTAATCATGGCCACAGCTATGCTAACCTCTGGTTTACAAATACAACTCTCTGTACTATATCAAAGACATGGTGGATACATGTTTGTAATAATATCCATCCCAGGTTTTGGATCAAAGATGGACTGATACAAAGCACATTGTAATTGTAATTGTAACTCTTTCATGGACTATGATGCTCTGCTCAGGATTTCATTTTGCATATCTGGTGGCATTATCCTTAATTTTTCTTTTGAAATTTTTTCTAATAGGATATCATCTATTATTAAGTTTAAAGATATATTCCTAAGAAAACTTTCATATCCTCTTTGTTTTTCTTTGTCACTTAGATGCTGATGCTGCTTATTATTTTGATGCTGCTCCATTTCAATGTCTTCATCTAAGAGCTCAATCTTAATCTCCTTTATGGGGTCACTAGCCTCTTGTTCTGTGGGTTCAATAACCTCTTTTCCTTTATTCTTATGCTGATTAGTTTCCAAACCTATTTTCAATTCTCTTTTCAGGGTGTCACTTGCCTTCTGTTGCATTCTAAGAGATTGGAGTTCTTCATTTATTTTGGTAAACTTACTAAGTAATGACTTATGGTTCCTAGAGATGACTTGAAGGTTATGCTCAAGAGAATGAATATGCTGCTGGCTTTGATAGAAATTAAAATTAAAACTATCAAACTAAAACTATCAAACTCTTGTTCTAAGGCTGTAATTAGTTTTTCGTGACCTAACCTCATGATTGGTTGTTTGATTTGGATATTCCAAGAATTATCTAAGAGAACTTGCTGCCTATCAGAAAGTCCTGATACTCTTGGCCTATATCTCAGGGTTGGATTTCTGATTCCTTCAACAATATTGCCATTAAAGTTGAAAGTAGGTACTGGTGGTAATGCTGCTCTGCTTATGCTATTTTGAAATCCATTGAATGGTGGAGGTCCTTGATGCATCATTATACTATTGAAATGTGCTCTTCTGCCTTGTGGTCTTGTGCTATTTGAGGATGATAGTCCATGATATTCCATTCATGTTCAACAAATTAATCTTGATAAGATATCGGCTAATGTATTGTCATTACCTTTTACATGTTCAAAAATTGGTTTAAAATCATTTCCTGTAATTGAATCAACAAAATTAACTCATCTTCGAGCTGCCATTAGCATGTATATTGTTATAATGAGAAACAATATTTTCACAATCTGTTCTAATCGTAAATACTTCATTATATAAAAATAAAGAGAATGTTTCAAGTGAGTTAATTATTCCTAAAATTTCTAAATCTGTTGATGGTAATCTAAACTGTACATCACTAAATTTTCCTAATGAATATCTACAAACTTGTTCGTCAGACTTTGGAGACTCCTTATACTTTTTCTGGTATAGTATACCTGCCCATCCCCATCCTAATAATGAAGCATCTATTTCGACTACTTTATAACTATCATCTAATGGTAATGGCTTAAGTTTAGTAATTTCTTGTTTTATATTTTAAACTAATTTAATATCTTCACTATTAAAATATTTTTGTCCTGTTTTGCTAGTTTTACTATGTAATACTGCTATTTTTCTTCCTAAATCAGGGATAAAATTTCTTTCATAATTTAACAATCCTAAAAATGCTTGTATGTCACATCCCGGCCCGGGCCCCCACCACATCCCAGGCTCGACTCCACCGTAGCACGATATTGTCCTCTTTGGACCCCGACCACGCCCTCACGGTTTTGTTTCTGGGAACTCACACGAGAACTTCCCAGTAGGTCACCCATCATGGGATTGCTCTCGCACGAACTAGCTTAACTTCGGAGTTCTGATGGAACCCGAAGCCAGTGAGCTCCCAAAAGGCCTCGTGCTAGGTAGAGATGGGAATATGCATATAAGGCTTACAGGATCCACTCCCCTAGGCGATGTGGGATGTTACATTGTAACTGTTTCTTATCTTCTCACTTATCTGGAAATTCTAAGACCTTTTTGGCTATATGATCTTGTAATTGTATTGTACCTGACTTAATATACATTCCTAAAAATTATATATCTTGCTTTTCTAATGCTATTTTATTTTTGC